GCTTGAGCTCCTGTCCTGACTTCCTTTGATGATGGACTGTAATGCGGCAGTACAGGCAAAATAAACCCTGTCTTCCCCAACTTGCTTTTGCTCATGGTGTTTCATCCCAGCAAGAGAAACCTTATCTAAGACAGTAGTCACCCCCATTGACTTTCATTACTCAAATCCTTTCTGCTAAGACAGCTAAAATCTAAAAGACACAGACACAAGAATAAAAGATAAGCTACTCTGTTCTCTTGGTGCGTCATCAGTTAACAGTGCCCAGCTTTCTATTAAACCGCACCCGGCCATTGGGAAGATGTTTCTTCTACCATTGCAGTGATAAAATACCAACTTCAGGACGAGTGGCTTTCTTTTAGCTCACAGTTCAAGGTACTGTGGGAAATCGAGGCAAGGAATACAGCAACAGCTAGTCACATGAAGTCCACCACCAGCAAATGAACATTTCAGCTCCCATTTCCCACTTTAACCAGCACACATTCCCCCTACCCAAAGAATGGTTCTACCCACAGTTAAACTGATCTTCCCACGTCAATGAAGATAATCTCTCACAGACACTCTCTGGAGCTAACCTTGCTATCCCTCACAGGTGTGCTTGAAGACCTGCCCGCCAGAAGATTCTAGATTATGTAATGTTTGACAATTAAAACTGACCACCACAGGAGGTGAAGTCACAGTCTGTTGTGTTTCATTCAATCAGCCTCAGTGACTGAGGGACAAAAATGGGCTCACTCAGGACTGAAGAGATGTCTTCAAAGGTTAAGAGTACTGGCTGCTCTTCTAAAGAACCAAGGTTCTAAGCCAGGCATAGTGGCACATACCTTTAATCCTAGCACTCTGGAGGCAGAGGCAGGTGGATCTCTGTGAGTTCAAGGCCAGCCTGGTCTACAAAGAGAGTTCTAGGACAGCCAGGGCTATTACACAGAGAAACCTGTCTCGAAAAAAAAAAAAAAAAAAAGAAAAACACCAGAGTTCCATTCCCAACACCCACACGGTAGCTCACAATGCCCATTTCTCACCTCTGCAGGCATGCACATGGTACACAGACATATATGCAAGCAAAACACCATACACATAAAAAAATCAAATAGTAATTTTAAAGGGGGATCCTTGTTGGGAGTAGTGGTGCATGACCAGCCGTTTGGGAAGCTGAAGTAGGAAAATCACTTAAACCTGGGGTCTCCAGGCCAGCCTTGGAAACATAATTAGGTCACATTTGTGGGTAGGGTGAAGGTTATTTAAGAATGTAGGTGGAAATACATATATTTGGGATATGTAAATATAGTCAAACGAGAAGCAAATACGAAGACACAGGCCTAGGAATGAGGGATTAGGGTATGTGATACAAATCCCAAAGTCAGAAGAGATCTGATGGGGAAATCAGAAAATTGCTGAGCTTTGGGTCATAGGATGGATGGAGGCTGAGGGTCTTATAAAGACTCTAAGGTCAAGAAGAGGAGAGCCTAAAGAGATAGTGGAAGAAATAAGGCAGTCTAGCTTCAGAGAAAAAAGACGGAAGAGCAAAGGCCGCACGGAAAGGCCTTGATTCCTCCAGCTGTTGAGAAGATGGAAGATTCTGTGGTAGATACGGTGCTGAACAGGCAACAGGGCCATCTTTGTTTAGGTTACGTATTCTACGTTAAGTCAGCTCTTGGGCAGGGCTTTGTTTTGATCCTAGTTGATAGGAGACAGATGTCTGGCATCTGGTCCTACAAACGAGTGTGGCCACTGTTTCTGAGCAGCTGACAGTGCCTGGGCCAGTCTCTGTGGGGAACAACGTCCTGCCAACAGCTGTACGTACAGCCAGAGCTGGTGGGACACGGAATGTGAAGTGACTGACCTGAATCACATGGAAGATGAGGACATCGTTTGTTCTGACTTTCGTCATTCATATTTTGATAACTATTATCCTATCAGTAATATTATATTCTAAATTCCTTTTTTTTTTTTTTTTTTTTTTTGAGACAGGGTTTCTCTGTGTAGCTTTGGTGCCTGTCCTGGAACTCACTTTGTAGACCAGTGTAGCTAGAGTTTTCCTGCCTGGCCCACCACCGTCAGGGCAAATCTCTCTCACCTGCCAGTCCCACAGGCGCTCAGACCCAACCAAGTAAATACAGAGACTTATATTGCTTACAAACTGTATGGCCATGGCAGGCTTCTTACTAACTGTTCTTATAGCTTAAATTAATCCATTTCCATTAATCTATACCTTGCCACATGGCTCGTGGCTTACCGGCATCTTCACATGCTGTTTGTCATCGTGGTGGCTGGCAGTGTCTCTCTGACTCAGCCTTCCACTTCCCAGCTTTATTCTCCTCCTTGTCCCACCTATACTTCCTGCCTGACTACTGGCCAATCAGTGATTTATTTATTGACCAATCAGCAACACACTTGACATACAGACCATCCCACAGCAGACCAGGCTGGCCTCGAACTCAGAGATCCGCCTGCCTCTGCCTCCCGAGTGCTGGGATTAAAGGCGTTCACCACCACCGCCCGGCTATATTCTAAATTCTTATAAAATTTTATCATGGCATAGATAATACATCTGTAGAGGTGCCATGCTTTGTATTTCTAAGGTAGCTATTGTGTTCACGGCTAAACTGCATCAACCAGCTATATTGGGTTGAAAGCTCTTAAAAGGATCTACTGAACTTACTCCAGAAGCTTCCACTGATTTAAGGGATAGACCAAGTCATCAAAAAGAGCTTTGAGGGCTGGAGAGATGGTTTATTCATTAAGAGCCTTTGTTGCTCTTGCAGAGGACCCAAGTTCGGTTCCTAGTACCTCTATGGTGGTTTGAAACTGTAACTCCAGGCCCAGGGAACAGGTACCCTCGTCTGACCTCCAACACCAGGTGTGCACATGGTGCACACACATACGTGCAAAACACTCACGCACTTAAAATAACTTTTAAAATATTAAAAAGAGTAGCTTTGTCTAAAACTAGGCCTACTTGTGAAATCCCTCTACCCCACCCTAAAGCAGCGTCCATGCTTTATTTTGGAGACATCTGTGGGAGCCTGTGTAAGAAAGCTGTGAAGTTACTGTGAACCACAGATGGGGCAGAGTGCAGAATGTGCTTCTCACAAGGTGGCCTTTTGGAAAGAATTGCATAAAGTAAGATGGATGAATGTATTTGAAAGAACGGAAATGAAGAAAATGCCCTGGCGAGTCCACATTATCTCTGCGGGAAAGGCAAAGGCCTGGGAGGAATATTCTTGGCTCTTATGACCAAAGATAAGAAGGCACACCAGGTGTATTCCCTTCCCTACTTGTATCTGCTTAAGCTAGCTGTGAACGGCACCTCAGGTGTTGTGGCTTTAATAATAAAAGTGAGAGTGCTTTGTTTACACGACCATTGGTCTCAGGAGCCTGGAGTCCCGTTTTGACCCCACTCAGATCTTTGGATTATATCCTTCAATCCTCGAGACTTCACCTCACTAGCCAAGCGGTGTGTCAACAGACATCTTTTGTGGCTCTCTTGTTGAACATTTTTCAGGAATTCTCTGTTCACTTTACGGTTGCACTCCAGGTCCTTAGCATCTCTTCCATTGTCCTCCTAATTGCATCTTTGTCTCGGTGATCTCCTCCTTTGCCATTTCTTTGCATGCACTGCTTTGAAAATTGAGTCAATCACACACTGTCTTCCTACATTCTGAGATGCCCAAGTATCAAAGGAACTGTCATAATTATTGGTATTTTTTTGAACCAACCAATTTAAAATCATCCAGATAAACTTTTTTTCTTTCATTTTTTTTTTTAAATTTGGAGCTGAGGACCAAACCCAGGACCTTGCACTTGCTAGGCAAGCACTCTACCACTGAGCTAAATCACCAACCCCCTTTCATGTTTTTTTTTTTTAAATGTGTATGGGTGTTTAGCCCGCATGTATGCCTGTGCACCACATGCATGTGCCTGGTGCCCTGGAAGCCAGAAGAGGGCAGACAACTGGAGTTACAGGCAGAGCTGCCTTGTGGATGCTGGGACTCAAACTTCTGCCCCTGAAATGAAAACTATCACAGCTGAAAATAGCAAATTAGTTTCAGTCACCACAAAGAGAAGGAGAATATTGTTTAATCCTACCTAGATAAGGACACTCCTGTGTTGTTGTTTTACTCTTTGGGGGGCCTGCCACCCAGCTCTCAAATAAATCACACATGGAGGCTTATTCTTAATTATAAATGCCAGGCCTTAGCTTGGCTTGTTTCTTGCCAGCCTTTTTTAACTTTAAATTATCCCATCTATCTTTGACCTCAGGGCTTTTACCTTTCTCTATTGCTGTATACCTTTTCTTTCCTTCTTACTCCATGTCTGGCTATGTAGCTGGGTGGCTGGCTCCTGAAGCCCTCCTCATTCCTTGACCTTTCTTCCCAGATTTCTCCTATTTATTCTCTCTGCCTGCCAGTCCCACCTATCCTTTCTCCTGCCTTGCTATTGGCCATTCAGCTCTTTATTAGACCAATCAGGTGTTTTAGACAGGCAAAGTAACACAGCTTCACAGAGTTAAACAAATGCAACATAAAGAAATGCAACACATCTTTGCATCATTAAACAAATGTTCCAGAGCATAAACGGATATAATACATCTTAAAATAATATTCCACAACACTACTGAGAGTGCTAAGCATAGGTCGGCTCTCCCTTTAATGGGTTAGCAAACATTACAATGTTTGTTACTTGACAGAACCAAAGAACACTTTCTCCATACAGGAGGATTTAAGGAAGAACTGAAAAGAGTATTGTAAGAGAGGGATTGGTGCCCCCAGCCCCAGTGGGTACAGGACACACCCAAACATCAAATTCTCAGCACAAAGGAGATGTATTACCCTGGAGTGGCAAGCTGGGGTTGGGGGCTGCCTCTGGATCGGACAAAGGCAGACAGCAAGCGAGCAGGTATTTTTAGGAGTAGGTTTTTAAGGAGAAAAAAGAGGAGTCTGTGCTAGGGGGAGTTGGCAAGTCCTGATTGGACATGTTAGCCAAATAATAAACTTTGATTGTTGGACCTTGGTGTTTTATCTCAGGAATGAGTCAGTGGCCAAATAAGGGAATAAGCCTTGGGGGCTAGCTTTAGGAATGTCATCGAATGGTTTTTAGCAAGGGAGAGGGAATGGGCCTGTTGGTGCCAGGTTTGCCATGCTTGGGCCTGCTAGAGCCCTTTGAGTAATAATTCTATCACTTCATAATGACTCATCGGACTGTGAGCCACCTAAAATGTGATAAATGTCCTGGGCTTCAGGAAACACTGCTCTAGCCTTCTCAAATTGCTTTGTTTCATTCTTATTATTGATCTTCTTGTTGGATCCGGGGTCACTCAATAATGGGGAACAGACCACCAAAGTCTATTAAACCAGAAGCAAACTTTATTCCAGAAAAATTAAAATAAAACACTGCAGGGCACAAAAGCTTATCAGCTAGCTGAGACCACAGCCAATGTTGGAATTCTGGGGCTGTGGCCATGAAGGCAGGTACTGGCCCCCTTTTATAGTATCAGGCACGGGTGCATGCTAGGAGTCACGTAGAAACAACGATTAAAAGTTAACTTTGGTCCAGGCAGTTGTTGACTGTAAGGGGCAGGGGGGTTAAAAGTTCACCCCTGGCTGCTGACAGAGGAGCTGGCTGTAAAGCGGACAGCCATTGTTAGCAGTTAACCTTTAGAGATGATGATTGTCAGTTTTTATCTCTTAAGCTTGTAATTTCATATTTCTATATTCCTGGACCCTTCAGTCTAAAGTGTTCTATTCTCCGCCAGTCGATTCCTCCAGCCCTTCAAGTCCCAGGGGGTTCTTTCCTGCTGTGCAGTTCCTGGTAGAATGCGGTGTCCCTTGTATTCATAAGGGTCCTCCAGAAAAAGAATCAGTAGGCAATTGTCTTAGTTAGGGTTAGTATTGCTGTGATGAAACATCATGACCAAAAGCAACTTGGGGAGGAAAGGGTTGATTTCACTCACAGTTCCATATAACAGTTCATCATCAAAAGCAGTGAGGGCAGGAACCTGGAGGCACAGAAGCCATGGAGGGGTGCTGCTTACTGGCTTGCTCCTCATGGTTTGCTCAGCCTGTTTTCTTACAGAACCCAGACCACCATCCCAGGGATGGCACCACCCATAATGGGCTAATCAATCACTAAGAAAATACCTCACAGGCTTGCCTATAGTCGGATCTTATGGAGGCATTTTCTTAATTGAGGTTCCCTCTTCTCAGATGACATTAGCTTGTGTCAAGTTGACATAAAACGAGCCAGCACAGTAATGTACACACAAATACACACTTTTTCATAAAAAGGAAGTCATAGTAATTATAGTTTTTATTTCTACAACTTGCCACGTGGTCATAGCTGGTATTTATAACTATTTTATACTACACAGTATACTCCTGTTGCCTTTGGCAACTTCAGCTGGTACGGTCCTTCACCCAGTGGTGTACCTAACCTTCATTATGGACCTCCTAGATCCCAGACTCACTCTTCCTTACCTCCCTGTGGAGTAGGGGCCCCGTTTCTCTTTGGTAGTCCGTACCCCCCACAGAACCCTCAACCTCCTTCTTCGCTTGTTGACTCAGAGGCACGAGGAGCCGAGTGGCCAGGTGGTAGTCAGCTCAGTGAGGTCATTATTATTTCTCCTGGTGAAGTTGCCTCCCTTTCTGGAACTAAGGTCTCAGAGCCAGCACAGCATTACATTGTGGGAGGACAAAGCGAGCTCTGTCAATGGGCTGATGGGGGAACAGCAAGTGGTGCCGCCCATGCTTCCACCCCTTGATTTTTTGGACATGACAGGTATCCTGAAGGATTTTCACTGGATAAAACTGAGCCGAGGTCTGAGAGTTTCACTGGATAAAACAGAGCCAAGGTCTGAGCCAGAGTTCCATGAAGGAAGACAAGCCTGCTGTCCTTACCCGTGGGGTCCTAACGAGGATGTGTGAAACTGGCAGACTCTAGGAGACTCAGTCACGTGCTCCTGAACTCCTTCAACAGCTGCCTTCCTGGCTGCCCATGTTTCTGTCTCTCAGTAAGGAATCTGCCACAGTCCTGCTGATGAGCTAGGGTTTGGCTGGAAGAGAAGAGCTGGATTAGGTGTTACTAACCTCAGAAGCAACTCTCACCTGTGGTCTGAGCTGAGATGATTGTTACAGGTCATTCTTGTGGGGTGCCGTGTCTCCATCTGAGGGGTGAACTAAATGTTTCTTGTTTTTCCTTGCCCCTGTGTGAAAATGGGCCCCCAGATGACTTATTTCATTGCATTAAACCCCATACTTGGTTTCCACCATTTGTGCTCAGCTGTCACCCACCCAGCTTGCAGCAAGCAGGGCTGAAGGAAGCTCTTCCTCTGCTCTCCTAAACCTACACTGATGCCCACCCAGCAATCATCCTTTCCCTGTGTAGATACAGCTGTCAGGCCGCTGGACCAGCCAGTACTTATACTGTTGCCGGGAGACCTGGGTGAGTTTTTCTTAAATGTATTGTATAATACTGCACAGTCAGGCCTACCTTCCAAGGCCGTGTGGGTTTCACCCACGGAAAATGTATTCCTTATCTGGACTTTTAAGTGTAATTAGGAAGGAGAAATGAGGAGGGGAAAGAACATACCATCTTTCCAGGTCTCTGGCTGACTGTCCTCTGCATCTAGCCAAGGTTTGTATCAACCGCCTCACAAATGCCCCAGGTGTTCCCCAGGGCTACATTTTCTGTGGGATATATACTGTGTATGTGAGCTAAAGCACTACCTGACATTAAACAGATAATTTGAAGAGAGGGGGGAAAAAAACTACAAGAAAAACAAAGTGACTGTGGCAAAGAGATGAAAGAGATGCAAATGAATGGGGGAAAGGCATCTGAGCAAGGTTTCCTGAGACTTGCGAGCTGATGTATAGATGGCAGGTGGTAGAGACAGGGATACTGGAAGGAGGATGTAAGAAGTGTAGAGGAGGGTGGGTCCACTGTGGTTCCCAGGCATGGAAAAGCCCAGGAACCTGGACAGTGAGATGGCTCAGAAGAAACGCACTTGCCACACAAGCTTGAAGCCCTCAGTTCAGTCTCCAGGACCCATAGTGAAAAGAATCACCCCCCACTAGTTGTCCTCTGCCCCTTACACATGCAGATAAAATGAAAGCAAGGAAACCATCCACCTTCAGTCACTTCTCAAAACCTCTTGTGGGTCATAATTCCCCTTAAGAATCATGCATAATGTCAGGTTGGAAAGATGGCTCAGTGGTTAAGAGCACTGACTGCTCTTCCAGAGGTCCCAGGTTCAATTCCCAGCACCCACATGGCAGCTCACAATGTCTGTCTGTAATTCCAGTTCCAGAGGACCTGACACCCTCACACAGACATACATGCAGGCAAAACACCAATGTGCACGTGCATACACACACACACACACACACACAATTCTTTTTTTTTTTTTTAAGCATAATGTTAAGTAAATATCTGGCTTTTGCTGAAGCCAACTCAAGTTCAGGTCAGAGATGAAAACAACTCCTGGATTTTGATTATACATAGACTACAAACCAAGGAAAACAACCATGCTTCCTTTCTCTCCATTCTGTTGACAGAGGCCTCCTCGAGTGCTAAGTAAGCACTTCCTGCACTGTTCTATGTGAGCAGTAAACGGCGGGGAGTCAACCCTTCACATGTGCTGGAGACACTGGGAGAGCGTGGGAAACGGCAGTCCTGTGCATGACTGTGCTGTGAGAGGTCTTCTGTATGCTGTGAACCTGTGTTGCTCTGATTGGTTGATAAATAAAGCTGCACTGGCCTATGGCGAGGCAGCTTAGAGGCAGGTGGGAAATCCAAGCAGATATCCATATGGAGAGAAGGAAGAAGAGAGTCACCAGCTGCCACCCAAGGAGAAGCAAGATGCCAGCAGACTGGTAATACCATGGCCACATGGCAACTTATAGATGAATAGAAATGGGTCAAGTTATAAGAGCTAGCTAGCAAGAAGCCTGCCATAGGCCATACAGTTTGTAAATAATATTAAGCCTCTGAGTGATTATTTTATAAGTGGCTGCGGATGCAGGGACGGAGAAAACTTTCGACTACAAGACTACAAAGTAGTTAACTTTGGGGGAGAGTAAAATGACAGCAACAAAGCCCTTCAGGTTGTTTTTCGAGACAGGCTTTCTTTGTGTGCACTTGGCTGTCCTGGAACTATTTCCATAGGCCAGCCTGGCCTTGAACTCACAGAGATCACCTGCCTCTGCCTCCCAAGTGCTGGAATTGAAGGCATGTGCCACCATCACCCAAGCCCTTTGGTTATTTTTGAAAAGATTGGTATATAAATATTAGCAAGATCTAGAGTTCCAATGCTCACAAAACAAGCACAAACAGCAAGAGTCCAAATAAACATTGTCTTCCCTTACAGTTAGGACGTCTTTGGTGAGTTCCAAGATCATCCAAGTCTTCAGTGCTATGGGGGAACAAGGGAAAAGAAAATAAGTCACGATCTTGAATGTTGGTATAAAAGATGAGGCAGGTATCAGTTACATAATGTAACATTTTAAAAACATCATGGTTAAGAAGTTTCACATGCCCTCAACATAATACAAAGGATAAAATATTCTATAGATATGCATTTTTAAAAAAAGATTTTATTTTTTTATTATGTATACAGCATATATGACAGCAGGCTAGAAGAGGGCATCAGATCTCATTACAGATGGTTGTGAGCCACCATGTGGTTGCTGGGAATTGAACTCAGGACCTCTGGAAGAGCAGTCAGTGCTCTTAACCGCTGAGCCATCTCTCCAGCCCATGCATTTCTTTAAAAGGGACTGGTTCTACATTTTATATAGCACATGTTTTGTTTTGTTTTTTTTTTTTGAGACAGGGTTTCTCTGTGTAACAGTCCTGGCTGTCCTGGAACTCCATTTGTAGACCAGTCTGGCCTTGAACTCACTGAGATTTGCCTGCCTTTGACTCCCAAGTGCTGGAATTAAAGGCATAAGCCACCACCAACCAGCCACAGTTATATATTTTATACATTCTCTGTAGCACTGAATACTGTTGCCTCACCTCAGTTATTTGGACTTTTTTTTTTTTTTTTTTTTTTTGGTTTTTCGAGACAGGGTTTCTCTGTATAGCTTTGCGCCTGTCCTGGAACTCACTTGGTAGCCCAGGCTGGCCTCGAACTCACAGAGATCCGCCTGGCTCTGCCTCCCGAGTGCTGGGATTAAAGGCGTGCGCCACCACCGCCCGGCCAGTTATTTGGACTTTTACGATTAGGCTGGGGAACTACATGGCCTAGACAACCAGCACGGTTTTCTGCGATAAACTAACCCATCAGATAAAAGAAACATTGTTTCAAGAAGAAAAAAACTGCTACAATTATTTTACAAAGCAACCTAGTTGTCCTTTTAATCTTAATGACTCATCACTGTTGCAATAAACTTTTGTCTAAAAAAGTTTTCCAAGAAAAAAATGGATTTTAGCTTTCACTTCTGAGTATTCAAGATTGCAAGAAGGCTGACCACACAAAACTTTCACTTAAACTTCTGGTTTTTGTTTTTCTCACATAGGTGGTTTCACAGGTTTTCTTGTCTGGGAATGGTGCTGCAGGACTGCAATCCCAGCACTGGATGGAAGAGACGAGCACCCACCCGAGGCTGGAGGATAGCTGTGAATTTCAGGCTAGCCAGGAGTACTTATCAAGACACTTTTCAAACCAACCATCACACCACACAATAACAACAACAAAGACAATCACAATGGAACACAATTTGTACTGGAGTTCAGCAAAGTTTAACTCACAGCCACGCTTTTATCTCCAAGCACACCAGGCCCAAATTCGTCTGACTGATTCAAGGTAAAGTTTGCTCCATTGTGAACGATTCATGGTCAAATCCACGCAGATTCGAAATCAAGGAGTCAACTGTTCGGCTATTAGAGAGTAAATAAGTCCGCTACGGTAGTGGTGTAGAGGGCTAAGGGGATTAGAAGTTTGTTACTCTGTTTCAACCTTGAATGGATGGAATTGCTCTGAGGGGTGGAGCTCCGGGGTGACTTCTGAACACGCTTTCTAGAAATTCTTAATTGCGATTTTCAACATCACACAAGCCACCTAATTTTGGAACGTAACATTAGCTTCCCTGATTTTGATAGTTTTATTATTATTATTATTATTTTATTTACACCCAGCATTGTGCGAACATTGCTGCCTACTGGACAAAGCTGGACGCCCCAGGGTGGACACAGGGCAGACAGACTTAACCACAGCTCTGCAGGGAGCCTTTCCCGGGACGACGGGCCGTGTCCGCGGCTCACCGCTCTGCGGTGCTGCTCCCAGGCCGCCACGAAACGCAAAGAAAGAACGAGGAGCCCACCGAACCCGCAACCCTCGCCGCGGGGGGGGGTGGGGGCGCGGCTGCGCGTGCGCAGAGACGCCGAGTCCGCTTCCTGAGTTCCGGAGGAAGCGGCGACGCGTCACTTCCGGCCTCCCTCTAGCTGCCATCTTGCGTCCCCGCGTGTGTGCGCCTTATCTCAGCTGGTCTGCCCGAGACCCCCTGAGCGCGAACCCTAGTCCCCCGCGCGGCCCCATTTCCACTCCGACAAGGTACAAAAAGGCTGTGGACGCCGGCGGGGGAGGAGGACGGGAGCGGGGGCGGGCAGTGCCCGGCCGGAGCGAGACAGGGAGGGACAGGGCTGAGGCGAGAGAGGAAAGCGATGCGACGGACAGGCGCTCCCGCTCAGGCTGACTCTCGGGGGCGAGGGCGAGCCAGGGGCGGCTGCCCCGGGGGCGAGGCGACGCCGTCTCTTCCTCCACCTCTCGGCGGAACCCGAGGACAGGAGCCTCAGGTACCGCGAGGCCTGCGGAGAGTGGCCGGGGCCGGGCAGGCCCTGGCTAGGCCGAGGCCGGCCGGGGCCGCGGGCGGGCGGGCGGGCGGGCGGGCGGGCTGGGGGGGGGGGAAGCGGGTGGAGGGGAGGGAGTGCTGATCGGGGCTGTGGGGGTGAGCCCGAAGTCTGGGCCTGGCCAGGGGGAAGTGGCGGGGAGGGGCGAGAGTGCCTGGGCTCCCCCGGCTCGCACCGGGCCGACTCGCGAGGGCTTTGGAGGGGTGGATTTGGGATCCGGGCCGCAGCCTGCGGAGGAGGCCGTTCTCCTGCGGGCGTCTCGGGAAATAACGAGCGTTGGAATGGAGGGAGCCCGACCGTTCTTGGCTGAGGATTTCCTCTCTTTCTAGATGAAAGAAACGATCATGAACCAGGAGAAACTGGCCAAACTTCAGGCACAAGTGCGCATTGGTGGAAAAGTAAGTTTTTTGTCTGTGCTTTTTTTTTTTTTTTTTTTTAAGTTCCCCTTGCGTTTCTCAACGTCGTTTTGTCACTTTGCTTGGCAAGGGAAATTCGCAAAGCTAGCAAATAAATCCAAGGGAGACGAGACAGATACAAAGAGACATGGAGGCTGTACATGGAGCGGCGGGGGGGGGGGGGAGTAATTGAATAGAGAAGAAAATAACACTTAATACGTTACTTTATTTGTGTGGTTTTAAGATTACAGCATATAAACAGAAGAGAAATGTTTATTTAATTTTATTAATGGGGGGGAAGTGTCCTCTCTGCCAAATCTTCTACCCTTGACTTATACAAAATTGGTGCCTCTCCCCCCTTATTTTGAGCTGTGCTGGAGATCAGACACAGGCACATGCTAGGCAAGCTCTACTCCAGCATTGCATTCCCAGCCCCCCCTTTTGTTGTTGTTGTTTAAATAAGTTAACCAAATGTGTTGTTTTGTTCTGCATAATGCTTACTTTCATTTTTGTAAATTAAGACCTTTCTGCAATGCTTTCTGAACTAAATGCTCAACAAGGTAATTGTCCTTTTCCAGGGTATTTGAGGATACCTTCCTTAATTGGTGTATTTTTGGAATTCAGGAACAGTTGGTGTTAGATTGGAAAATACTACCCAAGCACATGTCTTTTTTGTAATTATCCGACGGTGGGAGGAGGAAAATGTTGGCTAATTGGTTACTCCTGGTGGGTACTGAGCTTAATGGAGACTCTTTACCGAACCTGGCATTTGGTTCGATAATCTGAAGTCCACTCCAGAGGAAGATCTCCCGGTTTCGTGTGTTGTGTTAGCACATTCCTGGTGTTTGACAAGGTGTGGCAGCGTGTTGAATCAGAGCTTGTCTTTACTTGGTAAAGCTTGAGGAGCTTCCATAGGCCAAGTGTGTTACCTATTAAATTGTAGTGACTTTAAACACTTACCTTCAGGAGAACAGTCTGCACATAGGTTAAATAAGACACAGCTCTGCTAAGTTAGTGGACTTGGCCAGCATAATAGCCTCCTGATTTGTCTTTGCAGACAATTGTAGTCTTCAGTTTCCATTCCTTTACCTTCAGGCAGTAGCCTTCAGGTGCTAGGCGGGGCCTGTTTCTTTCAGGATAGTTTTTGGAGTAAAGTGCTTGTGTGCAAGTTGTTTCTCTAATCACTAGGCTTTAACTTGGAGGGGCATCTCTAGGGAAAATGAAAGCCTTCCAAGTTAATCTGATAGAGGAGACTTTGTATCTAGTATTTTCCCAGCCAAGACAAAATGTTTCCAGTCATAATGTGGGAGCATTTTTCTGTACCTTTTCAGAAACCTTACAGTATCGGTGAGTTTTGAAAAAACTTAAGAGAAAAGCAGTGTTAGAGTTACATACTTTTAGGGGAATATTATTCAAGACCATTTCCAGTGTCTAATGGAAAAAGGATTCTTTATGTAAATGTAGTGAATTCTACATTTGTGAAATTTGTGAAATCTATAGGTGGTGGCCTGTATTTTAGAATCTCATCTTTTCCTGTTGGTATTGTACTTAGTGTTATAGAAGTCTTTTCAGACTGTACAGTTGGGAGTGCCTACAGTTAGTGCAGAGTTGAGGCTTTGAAGACCCAGATGGGAAAGTAGCTTGAACGGGATTTTGAAAATGAGTAAGAATAACTTAAGAAATAAACTAGGAAAGACAGTGATGCTTGTGGAAGTCCTCAGTTGGGTGATAAAGAAGAGCCTCTTACCCGGGGAAAAGTAGAAACATGCTCTGGGGAGGGAGCTGAGCGATACCGGGAAGAGGGGTAACCTGTTCTCCCTTAAGAACCTCAGAGAGGTTTATTTGGCTGGGAAGATCTCTGTGGGTTAAGAACTTCAGCTTTCTACTCTTGGCTGTAGTAGACGGCTGTACACAGATTCATTGGCTATTTTGTTTACTATCCCATCTGTCAGAATTAAGGTCTTGACTTAGGTTTTGTTTAGGTTGGCACTTGCCACCTCTGATCACTTTTTAAAAGACTTAAAATATTAGGACTTGTAAAAGACATTTTGTATCTGACAAACTAGTGCTTATGAAGAATTCATAAGCCTTTCCTTTCCCGTACTTGCATCTTCACCTGCCTTTTTAACTTCATAGTGTGTGAGTTCGGTAACTATTTTTTAATTTTATTATGTATTTTTTTTGTTTGTTTTATTTATTTATTTATTTTAGTTTTTCGAGACAGGGTTTCTCTGTGTAGCTTTGCGCCTTTCCTGGGACTCACTTGGTAGCCCAGGCTGGCCTCGAACTCACAGAGATCCGCCTGGCTCTGCCTCCCGAGTGCTGGGATTAAAGGTGTGCGCCACCACCACCCGGCTATGTATTTGTTTTTTATTTGAACCTGGCCTCACTGTTTTTCCCTGGTTTGTCTGAAACACTCTATGTGAACTAGGCTAGCCTCAAACTCAGAGGTCTATCTGCCTCTGCCTCTTCTTCCTGAGCACCGGGACTAAAGATGTGTGTCACCATGTTCCATCTGGGTAACTCTCTTGTACAGAAGCAAAGATCTGAAAGGAATTAGGATAGACTGCTGTGGTGTAAATGTTGCTGTCTGCCCTTTTCCTCCCACCAGGGCACTGCTCGCAGAAAGAAGAAGGTGGTTCACAGAACAGCCACAGCAGATGATAAAAAACTGCAGTTCTCCTTAAAGAAGTTAGGAGTGAACAATATCTCTGGTATTGAAGAGGTCAGTGTCAAAGCTTAATGGTCATATATTAAGTAATTAATTGTCTTGCCCCTGCTGTTGTCAGTGTAGTCTATGCCCCATTAGATGTTTGAGTGTCGGGGAGATTGGGAAGCCAGAAAGCTATTTGCTTACACATTCCAGGGAAATTGTCACCTGTACTTTTTGAAGGGGGAAACCTCAGCCAGATAGATTTTAGTTTAATAAAAACATTGATTTTTAAAAGAATCTTTGGTGACTGTTACTTATAATAATCGTATTTTCTTTCTTATAGGTGAACATGTTTACAAACCAAGGAACAGTGATCCATTTTAACAACCCTAAAGTTCAGGCGTCTCTGGCAGCAAACACCTTCACCATTACAGGCCACGCTGAGACAAAGCAGCTGACAGAAATGCTTCCCAGCATCCTAAACCAGCTTGGAGCGGACAGTCTGACTAGTTTAAGGAGACTGGCTGAAGCTCTGCCCAAACAATGTGAGTATCCTCAGAGTCACATTTGTGTGATATCAGGCCTCAGAATTGCTAAGAATGTCTTTAGATGTAGAATATCAACTTATTTACCTAAAGGAATAACAAACACTCCTTTCACTGTTTTTATGTATTTGTGTTTACGTACACTAGACACTAGCGATGTGTCTAGTTTTCTGTCATCATTTACTTGATTTAGTGACTGTTTACTTTTTACCCACTTACTAGCTTTGAATCACACCAAAAACTTTTATCTTTATTTGTTAGAGATGAAAAACTGATAATTTTGGGTTTTGCTGGTAGTTAAGTTGAGAATTGACAGGCTGGGCATGGTGACCCACACTTGGTAACTAGAGAGAATAATAGGGTTCAGGACCAGCCTGGGCTACAGACATGCTGTCTCAGAAAAACAGCATTCCATTTTCTTATTTATAATCGTGTTTGGTGATTTCTTGGGGGGGGTCCTCTTAATTATTTATAAACACATAATAAATTATTGTTGATGTCAATGATGGCTGCCAATATTTTGGTGTTTCAAATTACAGTTTGATTGGGGATTTTGTTTAGGGCAGGCTATAGCCTAATTGACTTAGATGTACATCAGGCTGTGTTCTCTTTTGATTTCTGTTGTAGTAAACACCATGACCAAAAGCAGCTTGAGGAGAAAGGGATTTATTTTTTTTTCATTGCACTTTACAGTTCATCTCAAAGGAAGGCAAGGCAGGAGCTTGGGGCAAAAACCATGGAGGAATGCTGCTATAGTGACTCATTCTCAGACTCAAATTCATAGCTTTTTTTCATTGTTTATATGTATACGTATACATTCCTAAATATACCTGCTTATATGTATGTTTTCAGGGCTGACCATTTAGCCCTGGACAGGATTTTTTATCCCAGGCCAACCTG